TGATGGACTCAAGTGTGGCAGCGGTAGTGAGGTTGGCCCAGGATCGGACATTGTTTTGTTCTGCTGTGTATGGGGTCGCTATGAGTCGGTTCCGACTCGATGGCACCTGACAACAACAACAACATGGACTCCTTATGTTGACTTCTTATGTAATCCATTGTTACTGAGTCAATTCCAATTCATAGTGACCCTGTATAGGTTTCTGAGACTGTAAATCGTTACAGGCAGACAAGGCAGCCTCATCTTTCTCTCACAGAGCAGTTGGTGAGTTTGAACCTCCAACCTTGTGGGTAGCAGCGCAGTGCTTATTTTACAGCACTATCAGGGCTCCTTTGATTTACACACTAAAATCACCAAGTGTAGAGAATAAATAACCTCTCACATTTGGATTATACTTTAGAATTTTAGAAAGTACTTTACTGGCTGGGAAACCCTAAGAAGCAGTTCTACTCTGTCCTATAGGGTTGCTGAGGTGGAATAGACTCTGTGGCAGTGGGTTTGGTTTATTTTCCACCTGTAACCCTGTGAGGTAGGCATTATCGATAGTGAACTCAGAGTGACGTCCTGAGAAGTGTCAAAACTGGGATTAAAATGCTTTTCTATTTGATTTCTAAGCCATGGCCTGGTGTGGAGCTGTCGGATAAGCACTAGACTGCTAACCTCAAGGTCAGTGGTTCAAACCCAACAGCTGCTCCTTGGAAAACATACAGGATCACTAACAGTCAGAAGGACTCTAAGGCACATAACAAGTGAATAGACTAGTGCAAAGCATCTGATTTGCTTAAGAAAAAAAAAGACCTCCCCCAAGTCTGCTCTATTTGCATCTGACGGTAACATCTTCGGCCTATCTTTTTTAAATACAAAAGAAATTAATGATTTCTTCCGGAGAAGGTCTCTCTCTACACGTAGCCTTTTCCTACGTTACTTTATAGATCGTGAAATGGAGACAGTGATGAGTTGCAGGCTTTGTTTTGGCAGGCTCAGAACAATGTCGCACAGCGAGTTGTGCAGCTAAATAGATACAGTTTACTGAACTGGGGAATTCGGGGCAGAGACAGAATTGGGAGTTTGGGGAAAAGACAGATCATTACCCTTTTATTTTGACCCAGTGCTCCCGCCTGGGAGTTGGATTCCGGATCAAACTAGGTAATCTCTTCCAGGGATGGCTTCGAAGCCTCTTTTTAGCCTCACCCACGTCATTCCACCCTATTGCTTCCGAAAACCTTTGGAGAGGAGCTGAGGCAAGAAGAGGAAAGAAAGGGAGTTAGATTTCTCTTTGGGCTTAAAGGGTCAAATCTCAACGGCTTCTCTAATTGGAACACTTGTTTAACAATAAAGTAGCGTGAATTCGACTAGGCGCCTTTCCGAGAATGACGTCACCAGGCTCAACCTCGCGTCAAGTACTCGATTCATTTCTAGAAATACCTATTTTCACTTGTGGGGGAAATGCAGATTTGCTTTAGCAATCTACAATAAACAAAAACGAAGTTTTGAAATTTTCTTCAACATTGCTACACTTATATTTAGATATAACACTTGTTAGGGGCCTGTAGAAGGAAACGAGAGGCTCATGCCAAGGAATTTTAAGATATCATCTTCCTTGGCGTTAAGTAGTTGCGTCCAACTCGCCTCCCTTCTAGAGTCAGTTGAGAAGGCGGGGCTTTGGCGTAAGGCCCTGGGCGGGGTTGGACTGTTCTAAACGATTTCTGGTAGGGGAGCTTATTTAGGACGGAAGATTGCATTACGAAGAAAACCTTGTTTTCACTTCATATTTAATTTGTTTAAACGTTAAAAATTGTATAGTAACACGTATACTGCCTGTCACTCCACTCCACGAGTAAGTAGAAGAAAGGGCGGAATCTTTCCTTCCACATAGTGGCCACGTCCATTTTGCGCCATATGGCCTGATTTTAGGGATAGTGAGTGGTGGTTATGTGCCGCGGAGTAGTGTCTGCTTTTAGAGGTCGTACAGCTTGGCGGCTCCATGGCTCCCCACACTTGTGTCCCGCAGCTGGTGCTGCTGTTCAGTGGGAAGAGGAAATCCGGGAAAGACTTCGTGACGGAGGCGCTGCAGAGCAGGTGACAGGAGGGCGGGGAGGGAAAAGAGGGGGGCGATCCCCGCGCCACGTGACATGAGGGGTGTGTTTGGGTATGATGGAGTGCGCTTTGGAGCAGCGGTCTTCAGGTTGCAGGACCTGGGGAACCGTGGTCAAGGGAGGTGGGGGCTACCACCATCACACACGCCCACCTTAAAGAACGAGGCGGCAGTCTCTCTGGAGACCCTAAGCTGTAGGTGTCTTCCGGAAGCGTTAATAACTTATTATCAACGCGCTTTCACCTTACACTATTCCTAATTTTCACCACAGAATTGCTAGGTAACTGTTAACAAGTGAGGAAATGAGACGCAGATAAAGGATTTGCCTAAAACCTCACTCCAAGTGTGTCTGACTACTGACAGAACGGATCATTGCCTATCACTCCAGCGAACTCTTTAATAAACCTCTAGCGTTTATTGAACCTCTATTGGGTTGCTTTGGGCCGGAATCGACTCGACCGCATTTAACAACAACAACAATTATGTGCCAGGCACTGTGTGTATAAATTATCCTACTTAATCCTCATTGATCTCTGGTAGCGTAGTGGTTACGAATCGGGCTGCGAACTGCAAGGTCAGCAGCTCGAAACTACCAGCGGCGCCATGGGAGAAAGATGAGGCTTTCTGCTCCCATAAAGATTCATAGCCTCGGAAACCCTGTACAGGGTCGTTATGGGTCGGAACCGACTCGACGGCACTTAACAACAACAACCTCTTTATTAGGTTCTGTGGTGGCATTACCTGTTACTTGCTCCATTTCACCGAGGAACAAACTGAAGCTTTGAAAAGTTATTTTAAAAAAAGGAAAGAAAGAAAAAAAAAAAAACCAACTTGCTAGGTTAGACCTAGGATTCAAATTCAACTTTGTGTGGCTTTAAGGACTAGGTTCATTTTACTTTATTACACTACTTCTACAAATAATACCTTTTGCTCACTGTTTTCTCGCAGAGCAAGATAATCTGTGTGGAAGCATTTTTTGATGGGGAATGGGCTGGGTAAGCAGAGGAGTTGAAAAGAGTAGTGTGGGGCGTCACTTCGCCTTAAGACCAATGTGGTGATTTGGGGCACCACGTAAGTTCTAAGAGTTTGTGGGAAAGTTCTGGGCAGAGGCTATCACTAATTATTTCACCATTAAGTCGGAACTGACACCATGGCACTTACTACCACCAACAAAGGATCTGACCACTTGCTTCCAAATTTGCCTCTCTACCCCAAACACAGAAATCAAATAGTGGTTAGAAGCATAAATTCTGGAATTAGACTGCTAAAATTCAAGTACGACCTGCACCATTAAGTGTGTAATCTTGCACAAATTATCTACTTTGTGCCTCAGATTTGTCATTTGTAAAATGGGGATAATAACAGGTTGGCTGTAAGGATTAAATGAGAATGCATGTGAAAGACTTAAAGCAACTCTTAGTATCTAGTAAAGGTACAGGAACTAAATGTCTGTTTTTATTTACCAATACAGTATTCACTACTTATATTGTTGCTTTGGGTTAGTCAATCCTTACTCAACTTCAGTTTCCTCATCTGAAAAATGGAAAAAAGAACACCTCTGTCAACCTGTTTGTTCTGTGTTTAAATGATCCATGAGTTTCTCAAGGACAAAGTAGGAATCTTGTATCTTATTCACATTTGTATCACTTGAGCTAACTATATTAAATGCTGTCAAGTCAGCTCTGACACCTGGTGACCTTATGTGTGTTGTTGTTGTTAAGTGCCATCGAATTGCTTCCAATTCGTAGCAACCACGTACAGGGTTTCTGAGGAGCAGCTGGTGGGTTTGAACCACTGACCTTGTGGTTCACAGTCCAGTGAACTTATCCTACAGTACCATGTTCCTGGCATTGAGCCATCTTCATGATTATTGGCATGTATGAGTTCATTGTGTGGCTGTTATATCAGTCCATCTTACTGAGAATTTCTCTTGTTTCCTAACCCTCTACCAAATATGGAGCCCTGGCGTGACACTGTGAGTTAATAGGCTTGACTGCAAGGTCAGGTTGAACTTCAAGGTTGGCGGTTCAAGCTCACCAGCTGCTCCTCAGAAACCCTATGCAAGGTTGCTGTTAGTCAGAACTGACTCAACAGCACTAACAACAACACGAACAACTACCAAATGTCCTTTTCTAATGATTGGTCTTTGCTGATGACATGTCCAAAGTGAGCCAACTCTCAACCATCCTCATCTCTAAAGAGCATTCTAGTTGTATTTCTTTTAAGATTGATTTGTTCGTTCTTCTGATAGTCCGCAATATATTTAATGTTCTTTACCAGCACCACATTTTGAATGCATTAATTCTTTTTTCATTATCTAGGTTTTGCATGCATATGAGACGATTGAAAAGACAATGGCTTGGGTCAGACACTAAATGACATCTTTATTTTTCAGTACTTTAAAGAGCTCTTTTGACTCAGATTTGCCCAGTGCAATATATGTCATTTGATTTTTTTCCTGACTGCTGTTTCCATGGATGTTGATCCAAGTAGAATGAATTTGTTGACAACTTCAATTTTGTTCTCCATTTATCATGATGTTGGAGTCTTGGTTTAATGCGCTAGACTCCAAAGTTGGTTTGAACTGCAAGGTCAGTGGTTCAAGCTCAACAGTTGCTCCTTGGAAACCCTATACAGGGTTGCTATGGGTCGGAACCAATTCGGTGGCACTTCAAAACAACAACAATCATGATGTTATATATTATGAAGCTTTTTATTTTCTTCATGATTAGGCATAATCCATATTGTAGTCTTTGACCTTCATCAAAGTTGTAAGTGCTTCAAATGGTCTTCATTTTCAGCATCCAAGGTTGTGCCATCTGCTTATTATAGTCTGTTTATGAATCTTCCTTCCATCCAGGTGCCATGTCTTCTTTTTATAGTCTAGCTTCTCAGATTATTTAATCAAGATACAGTTTAAATAAATTAGAAGAATACAACCCTACAACATACTGTTTCCAAATTGGAAGCATGTAGTAGTACCCACTGGAGTCCTGGTATAGCACTGTGGGTTAATACGCTGGACTGCAAAGTTGGTTTGAACTGCAAGGTCAATGATTCAAGCTCAACAGTTGCTCCCCGGAAACCCTGTACAGGGTCGCTATGGGTTGGAACCAGCTCTACGGCATTTAACAACAACAACAACAGTATCCCCTTGTTTTGTTCAAACAATTGCCTGCCTCTGGATTCATGTATAGGTACTGCATGATCATAGCTCAGTATTCTAGAATTCTCTTTCTTTGCGATGCTATCCATAATTTGTTTTGACCTCATGGTCAAATACCTTAGTGCAATTAATAAAACACAGGCAAATATTTCCCCAGTATTCTCTTGAGGCCAAGATCCACTTGACATGAGCAGTGATATATCCTTCATTCCATATCCTCTTCTGAATCAGGTTTGAACTTCTAGCAGTACCCTGTTAGTGTATAGCTGCAGTTGTTTTTAAATTATTTTAACCATAATTTTGCTAACGTGATAATTTGATTATTTTGGCATTCTTCTTGATTGCCTGTCTTTGGAATGGGTATGAAGATGGTTCTCTTCCAATTCGTTGGCCAAATTTCTGGACATAGACAAGGAGTGCTTCCAGCACTGTATTTATTTATTGAAGCGTCTCAATTTGTGTTCTGTCAATTCTTGGAGTCTTTTTTTTTTATTTTGCCAATGTCTTTAGTGTACTTTGAACTTCTTTCTTCAATATAATTGTTTCTTGGTCATGTGCTACCTAATGAAAAGTTTGACTGCCAATAAATCCTTTTTGGTACAGTGATTCTGTATATTCCTTCCATCTTCTTTTGAATTTTTTCTTCAGTTCTTTTCCTCTTGGGAACTGCTCTGCCCTTTTGATTTTCAGACTCCAGGTCTTTGCATCTTTCTTTATAACACTTTCTTGTGCCTTCTTGAGCCACCCTAAAATCTCCTGTTCAACTCTTTCACTTCAGCATTTCTTTGTTTGCTTTAGCTACTCCACGTTCAAGAGCAAGTTTCAGAGTCTTTCCTGACATTCATTTTGATCTTATTATTATTATTTTTCTTTCTTTCTCGTCTTTAATGATGTCTTGCTTTCTTTGTGTTTCATGTATGATGTCCTTCAATTCATCCCACAACTCTTCTGGTTTCAATCATTAGTGCTCAGTGCACCAAATCTCTTCTTGAGATGGTCTCTAAATTCAGATGGAATATATTCAAGATCATACTTTGATTCTTGTGGACTTGTTTTACTTTTATTCAGCTTCAGTTTGAACCTGCATATGAGCAATTGGTGATCTGTTCCACAGTTGGTCCCTGACTTTATCTTCACTGGTGTCATTGAACTTCTCCATTGACCCTGTCAACAAATGTAGTCAGTTTGATTCCTGTATAAATCATCCATGAGGTCCTAGTCTTCATGTTGTTGAAAAAAATTTTTCTGATGAAAAAGTTGTTGGTCTTGCAGAATACTATCATGTAATTTCTGGCGTCATTTCTATCACAAAGATTTTTTTTTTTTTAAATATTTACCAGCTATGGAATCCGTTTTTCTCCCAACTTTTGCATCCCAATCACCAGTAATTGTCAATTTAGTTTACATGTTGAATCAATTTTAGACTGCAGTTGTTGTTGTTGTTGTCAGGTGCCATCGAGTCGGAACCGACTCATAGCGACCCCATGCACAGCAGAACGAAACAATGTCCGATCCTGGGCCAACCT